GGGATGATGACATTCAACTTAAAACCACAGGAAACTCACCATCACCTTTTTGGAATAAAATATCCCTATTAAAACACAGGTGGACTTGGAGGATGAGCTGTTGGTTCCACAAATCTGTCCTTTCACCTGTTCCTACATTAACTGCAAAATCCTTGAAGTAGACAGTACGAACACTGTGTTAAGTGCTATAAAACAGTGAACTGAAGGTGAAAGTATTAACTGCATGTGGGAAATCTAGAAACAGGCAGGATTTCATGAATATGCATGCACATAAAAATCTCATTTGGGGTTTCTTTTCTTTAATAGAACATTTGTGCATTTTAATGGACAGTCATGAACTTTGCTTAATCACCTTTTTCTGGAATCTAATATGGGATAAGTATTCCAAGCACATTTCTTGAGGGTGAAATGAACTGGAGAAGTCAAGGAATGTTTCTCATCCATCACGAAAATAGATGGTAGACTACATTCAGTTGTCATATAGGGAACTACTGGCCTCATTCTCCCTGTCCTTTCTGAAGGGGAAAGTGATTACAGAAAAGCCTCATGCTTGTTCAGGTAATATATGGACTTTATTAACAAGGTGTTTGATGTAAGTATTGCTCTGAGTTTATGCTACTTTTCTAAATTTGATACAATTATTGAAAAATTATTAAAGGTCGATGTGGATTATCCATTGCCCTTATGTGATATGAACACATTTACTGTAATAAAAAAGAGAAAATGTTCTCCTAGCTCAAGAATGGAACTAAGACAGGTGCAGTGGCACATGCCTGTAATCCCAGCATCTTGGGAGGCTGAGGCAGGAGGATCCTGAGTTCAAAGCCAGCCTTAGCAACTTAGCAAGACCCTGTCTCTAAATAAAATATGAAAAATGTCTAGGGATGTGGCTCAGTGTTAAGCACCCCTGGATTCAATCCCCCCAAAAAGGAATGCAGACTAAGATTCACAATCTGATTCATGTTTGCCTGATTCATGTTTGCAACATAAATGAGGGAATTAATTGGGTAATTGAGATGTTGAACTGTGGCCTAATACAGAAACACAGTTCCATTAAAAAATGCATTTGGGATATGACTAAATAATAAGAATAGCTTTCAATGTTGTGCACTTTGCTAGAATGAATCAGAATATAAAGGATCAGAAGCTTATATTTTAAACAATTTATTTGAATAGGGATAGGAAGATTTAGCCCCAAGCCTATCAATGTAATGTTGAAATTAAATCACAGTGTTGCAGAGAATAGCATAATTACTAGAAGCCACAAAAACTGGGTCAACCTAATAATTTGGTTGGATGACATGCCTTCATACTTTGGACAAACTAATCTTGGAATCCCAGCTGCTGGAAGCATCTGGTGTGGAGATGAAGAGAAATAAATGTTATATTTCATTTTTACCAGCTGGAAGATGAAGAACACTATGCGAGCCTATTTCCTGGTACAGATTGTCATAGAATCCCAAATAATCCTTTGGGGTTTAATTGTTTACTAACTTTTTAAGGAAAACAAACCTTTAAAGCACTCAATCATTTACTAAGTAAAATTCAGCAAATAACAAGCATTTTGTAAGCACTCATTTTAGTTTCAATCTCTACCATATTGACTAGATAATTATTGTCCAGATTCATATGTCATCAACTTCGTCAACAAAACAACAGAGAAGCCTCAAACAATTTAGTTAACAATGATTCTTCTTCCTGACCAGAAAAGAAAGGTTGTTAGATGTATAAGCAGGACAAGACACAAGAGTCATTTACTAACATGAACTCAATTCCAAAATATTTATTACAAGAATAAAGGCAGTTATTCAAGCTAGGAAATTTTTATAGCCAAGAACAGAAATTATGTAAAATGAAGAATTACAAAAAGGGAACTACTGTACTCTTATGTGCAAACCTAAGCCAACATAACCAGAGAATATTTTCATATATCACAGAAACCCAATTACACTAATTTAAAACACTGAACTACTTCTAGAAGTTGACTAGATTTGTAATAAGTGCTGAAACTTTTCTAACAACTAATTAAGAAAAAGAAATACACACAAGGCTCTATCTCCAATTCATTTAATGGCACAGTCTCCAATTTTCAATTAGCTACAGTTTCTTTGGATTTACTCATTGTGTCAAAGTTGAATAAAACTTTGAAAATAATCTGAAATGATTATGACTCTGGCAAAATTGTTTCTGTCTTTTTAAAAGGGATTTCCATCCCTTGGCAAAGGCATTTTTTTTTTCAATAGAAAGTGGTTGCTATGGAAATCAGTAAGAATCTTATAGAACAATCAAACTTAATATTGTTTGTAAATAAAGCAAATTATACTAAGATGATAGAGTTAGAATTAACTTTTTGGAGTGGGAAAGCGTTTCCTGTAATTGAGGTTAATTTAGACAACATACTTTCTAGAAACACTGGATTCTGAAAGAGATGCAGAAATGATATGAAGGAAGGTACAGAGAGAAAAGGTCGGGACCTTCATTATCACTCTATGGTCATTTTGCCTTTGAAGGAAACCAAGAGAAACTGGTCAATCAGTCATTAACTGCAAAAAAAAAAAAAAAATTAGGAAAACTTTTTCCTCTGGAAGATATTTTTTTTTCCTAGTACCAGCTCTAGGAAAAAAAAAATACTCAAGTATTCCCAAGAGAAGCGGGGAGGGGAGCAACGACCAGGTAGACCAGGCTCACTCTTGACAAGCACTGAGATTCTTCCCAAGTTTTCCAAATGTTGCTAATAAGCTCAACCTTCCATTTCTTTGGTGCACACTTGAAACTCCCCATTCTCCACTTTCCGTTCTTCTCATCACCTTCTCTTAGCATATGAGTCCTTTCTGTGGACAGAATAAAAGCCACCCACCCCCCCTTCACCGGAGTCCTTCTTCACATGGTCCCTGCAGCCTCAGCAGAAAAGAGCACTTTTGCCTAGGACTCCATGAACTGAGTCTCTTCCTTCTCTTGTAAGTATCCTGCTCCATTAGTAATCACTTCTCTGACTCCTAAAAGCCTAAAGCAATTTAAAAAGAAAATAAGTAATAATCACACACAGACACACCAACCACCTCTCCATGAGGCAACTATTGCAATCCCCTGCTAAAAGTACACCTCATCCCCTTTCCTTTTTTTATTTTGATTTAAGATGACTTTTTATTGATGCACTATAATTGCAACCAATAGTGGGCTTCACTGTTGCATATATATATATATATATATATATATATATATATATATATATATATACACACATTTTCTTGAATTATTAACTTCTACTCACAGAATTACTTACCTTCCCATTTGAAATACCTAGGAGACTCACATTCTCAAAAATTATCCAAAGAAAAGAAAACAAGGAGAGAAGAAGAAGAGGAACAATTTTGAGCAGAAGGAAGAAATTGGGGTGTGGGAGAGGGATTGCATATCACAAGGAGGGTAAAATGGAAAAACAAAACATACCCAATTTCCAAATCCTCACTTGATTTAACACAAAATGGTAATTTTTATCTCAAAAGGTTAACACTCTCTATTTAATTAAATGAGATATAACTTGTTTCCCCTATTTACCCAAACTGTTTAAAATTCACAATCCACATTTTATGATCTATACCCAATCTCCCCCACTTCTCTCAAAGGACAGATTTGATTCTCCTAATAGGATTATATAATTCAGATTTTTTTAAAAAAAACACATAATAATAACGTTGAAGGAATGCAACGCATTTTCCTGGACCTATCCAGTTAATACAGCATCACTGCACAGGTAAACCATTTATTTCACGACCATCCTGAGAGGTAAGCAGAACAGGTGCTATTTTCTTTTTATAGTTGAGAAAATTGAACTTCAGAGAGGTTAAGAGGTATGCACGCCTTGGAGCTGTGAATAAATTGAAGAAAGTGCAGATAAAAGGGGGAAATATTAGATTTGCTCTTTTGAAAATGCTTCAGCAGGAGAAACGCCATCTTAATCAGCAACAACACTTATTCAGCATTTATTTACCTCTTGAAGCCAAGCTCTGTGTTTCCTGTGATAGAAATTTTTTACAGAGAAAGAGCAGGCATCACTTTGTAGTCCCTCAGATAGCAAGTTTTTTGGGGAGATCATGGCTGCTCAAATAGTTCATTCCCTAAACACTTAAATTCTAGACTGGCAATAGCTTCACATCTAATGTAGCTGGCCCAGTTTTTTTTTTCTCATTGTTAAATATATGAATCAGAGTTTCTCTTTGTATGTGTGTGTGTGTGTGTGTGTGTGTGTGTGTGTACAACTATGCATACAACTTTGGAAGGTTTTTGGAAAATTAATATGCTTTGACTCCATAATAACATATCTCTCTCCTGCCACCTGCCTCTTCATGTCCCTCCTGTCCTATTCTACTCTACTGGAGTTCTTCTCACTACTTTGCTTCTTTTATTTATTCACCTTTACTACATATCTTTTTTTTTCAAATGATTATCTGGAGCATATAAATTTTAGAGTACCTGCAGCAATATCTTCTTTTCAATCATAAGATCATGAGCAAGAAGGGCCTAAAAGATCTTTATGTCCACTATCACTTAAATATGAATATATTTTTTAAAAGTATGCCCAGAAGTGAAACACTGGGTTGCAACACTGAAATACTTGTTGCATCCCAGTCATGGTAATGTGGATGATTTTTGACACTTCTTCTGAAAAAACAATTTCAATATTTTTATATAGCTTTGCAATAAAGGAGGAAAGTATCATAGAGTCTTGTAATTATGATGTCTTTGCTTTGATGGCATAGTCTTGGTTATAAATATGATTTATTTGCTAATCAATGTACTCCTATATCACATTAATTTGATCAGTAATATAACTTCCAAATATAACTTGCCCCTAAGGTAAAGTGTGACTTATTGTTCCACAATATGCATCATGACTGTTCCTTAATATTTTTTTTTTATAAAAAACAGAGCTCTCTTATCATGTGTCCTTTATTTCTCAGGTTTGAACAGTGAGACGCAAGCGATGTGCAAAGACTTACCCACTCTTCCTCGTCATAGTCTGAATGATGCGGTATGGAGTCCTGCCTTTTCATCCGTGGGGGTTGGTCCTCGGAACAGCTCTCCTCTGCTTTGCTCCTAGGAGAGGGTGGTTTCGTAAGGATTCCTCCTGGCCTTGCTGTATAGAGTGCTAAAAGCGCACTCCTCACCAGCTGATCCTTGAAAGCATGTACAAAAAGCTCTGTCTGGAAAGAAATTGACAAGGATTAGAAACACCATGGTAGGCAGCACAGTATAGAGCTATGGAAAGGTCAATTGCAGATTTGTTGGTACTTAAGTGGTGTGGATGGTAGACAAAGTACAGGCACCAAGGAGAGAAAATGATTCATACCAATCAATGGAAAATGGTTTGGTGTTGGGATGCTGCCAAGGCCTCGAGTCCTCCTGTTTTAAAGTTAATGCTGAGGTTTAAAAGGCACTATAAACACCATCTGTCTCCTCCGCCTCTTCTCTATTGGCTCTAAACCCTGTCTTTGGAGATGAATTTCACTGGGGATAATCATTTGAGCAACATCTACCTGCTGCACCTTTCAAGTCATTCCAAACACATCTTAAGAAGAAAGTGATCAGACTATGTACATTTACTATTCTAAGCAAGGTTAAAGGCTAAAGAGAGAAAGATGTATCTTAAAAATACTGAGTAACTTTTTTAAAATATCATGAACAAATCTCAGTAGTAGAGATGACATAACAGTCTTCCCTATGAAAACATTTGCCTTTTACTCCTAATTACCACCCCTTGAACTGTCTCCTCCAACAAATGGTTTCAGTAATGCTCAATGTTAACAAGGTTACTGTGAAACCTGGCATGGTAGAATTTACAAGCTGGTGGTAAACACCTAGTAAGTACACCCTCCCAACAGTAAAGAACTTTACAGCTGTACTTTGCAGTTTCCTGATGAAATGTTTTAAGAGCTTCACCTTGTAACACATGGAAGGATGCAGTAATTGATTCTCTGTATTATAGTACACTTAACATGCATGTGGCCTAACAATCTGTTGAAGGAGTACAGACATAAGTCAAGCATTGACCCACATTGTTAATGGAGTCATACTTTGTCATCTGTTAGAAAGGGGCCCTATAATGTGCAGCGTTATTTTGGATAATAATTGATATTCTCACCATTTAATGCAGAATCCTTATATATAATGCCGACTTCAATATTGCTGTAACTCAAGGTAATTATTTCTTGGTGCACTCTCAATATGCAGTCAATAGTGCCATGTCTAACTCCTGGTTGCTAAATGATCTCTAAATCTTCTTGTTGTGAATGTCAGCAATTAAACTCCATTAAATCTTGTGCAAAACAAGTGCCTAATAAGACTGTATTGTATCTTCATAGTTCCTTCTTTGCAATAGATCATAAAATTGTAAGCTGGAAGGGACCTTGAAGTTAACCTCTTTGTTAATCAGTTAAAAAACTAAGTGTGGTAATCTGTTTTACCACAAATTGCTTATGTTAGCACAAATGGAATAAGTTCCCAAGTTGCCTAAAAATTCAGTAGTTTTTCTTATTCCAGTCCCCTAATCACCTGCTCTATCTAACTGTTCCTGTCTTTCTTCCCTAACTCCAAATCCCTACATGTTTTGAATATCCATCATTTCTCAAATGTGCCTACAATGCTGACATAACCATTGCTATTTTTCTATTTTTAATTTTTTTTCTTTTAGTTGTAGATGGGCACAATGACTTTATTCATTTATTTTTTGTGTGTGGTGTTGAGGATCAAACCCAGCACCTCACACGTGTTCAGCAAGCCCTCTACCACTGAGCCACAACCCCAGCCCACCGTTGCTAAATTTTATTGGCTATTTAAAATACTCTGTTAGTATATTAGTTATATTGAATCTATTTTGAGAACGTAAGAAAACAAGAAATATGGAAAAATGAATATATGTTAATAATAGACTGAAAAATATTTTGAATAAGAAAACATAAAATAAAAGGTCCATTTATATTGGAAAGGAACAAGAAATGTCCAATGATGTTTGCAATTAAGTGTTCAAATGGGAGTGGAAGATATAAAAAAAGTTCTGATGGAAAAATATGGCTAGACAGTATTCAAACCAGTCAGTATATTTACAGGAAAATGGGGAATAACATGCTATTTACATAATTATTCACATATCCTGGATATATTCATCAATGTGAATTTAATAGTAAAAATTGTGAATTTACTCCCATTCAGCATTAACCAAACTATTTCTCTGTTGATAGTTTCGATAAATTCTTTTGATTTATTTTTAGAACAAAACAGCTTGCCTTCTTTGAATTCCTGCTACTACAGCTCCAGTCTCCACAGTATTCATATAATTACTATGTAGCAGAATATCTATTCATACCCAATGAGATCTTCTACAATACTAGTAATCCTTTCCTTCCCATGCATGCACAAGCAGAGATTCCACTTCATTTATCTAAATCTTATTTGAGTTGATTTAGATAATTCAGAAAATTCTTGCAATTATACAATCCAGAATTTTCTTTGGATAGTTGAATACAATGCATCACAATCTTAAAAACAACAATAGCTGTTTTTTTTTTTTTTACTTTGTGTCTATACTGACTAATATATTAGACTGCTTGGAAATTCTCTGAATCACCAGGGTACTATATGTAGATTATATTGTATTAGATTTTATTCAATAATCCATTGCAATATCTCTGTGACCTTGAAGAATCTTAATTTTGTAGATTAGCACTATTTATTAAAAGTAGACCAATGGACTTGGTATGTTTTATAGTCAACATAAATCAGTTTGAGGAGATTAATATAGTCATTGAAACCCAACACATCCATATATTGTTGTTCCTACAACTGGATGAAACTAGGGAAGTAAAGTCAATGGAAAGGTGTGGTCATGTCTGAGTAGTTGCCTGAGTGTTCTGAATCCCTTTTCCTCTTCTGATCCATATACAGACATGTTATCCATTATACCATTGGCCTGCACCAACATTATTCTTTTTTCTGGATCAGCTTGTACTGTATTAAATGCAAGAAGAAAAGATCTCTAAATATTATGATAAAAATTTATTTATCAGCTTATCAATACAGTAAAAATAATAAACTCAGAACCAAGGAATATCCAGTTTACCTGTTTGAAAATAAAGAAAAGATAATGCTATCTTCAAAATGAAATGTTTTTTTCAAACACATATTCCCATATAACTATTTTTTGAAGCAAAACACAAAATTACTACAAGTTTAAACTACTCAGAATTACTTCTCCTAGGGATTAGTGGAGAGAACTTCCTACTTTTCTGAGTATGAATGACAGAGGAAAAGTTAGAATATGTTCATTTAAGAATACCTTTTTACTAGAAATCTCAACATATTAAACTAAGTCCTGTTCTATTTAGAATTTCATTCTCTTTGGGAAAGAAAACATCAAGACAATGTCCAATTCCACCTGCAATACAGAATCAACTAATGACATTAGTAAGTGATTATGGCTTTCTTAATAATGTATGCAGCAGGAAAGAATCCTGTTTATTTTGTATTCGATGTGCTTTAATTATTTCATAGATATATATTGCTATATGCTGTCATTGGAATGAATATTTAACAGTCCAGGAGTTTACCTGACACTGGGTAGCTATGCATCATGCACTTGACCTAACATGAAGCGGGTCTGTAACATTCCCAGTCTGTATCAAATTATAGTGTCTATCTGTGAAGATCTCAATGGAGCTCACTGCTTGTGCTCCATCTTTTTTTCACAACTGAACTTCTTTAGTTTTATTTTTTGAATCATCATCCCCTATTCACTCAAAATGCTTTAATGTGGAATTCAGGGAGGAGGGAAGGAAGATGGCGGCGAGGGGAGTGCATTGCCCCCGTGTGCTGCTTCACTGTGTGGGAGTATGACAAGTCAGGACGGCTAAAGGATATCTTGTTAGGAATTTCCAGCAATAGTGGGGAGCGCCGGAACCTGGAGGAAGGATTTCCATCGCCTGAGGATCGGCTACGGGGACTCAAACGCGAGAGGTTTGTCGCACGGAGGGTAACTGCTTATTCAGCAAATCGCCCCGCGGCTAGAGTCTGCAAGGCGCGCTGGGATAGAGACGCAGGGTTACAGCGCTGCAGTTTCTGCCAGACGCGCAAGCACCGCACTCAGGGCTGAATTCTGGGTTCGAGACGGGGAAGGAAGCGGTCCATCTCGGTTCTCCACACCGGTCAGACCACAGAGGAGGCCAGCAGCCACCATGTTGGTAAACTGACGTCACCACACCTGTTTTTGACTGACCGCAGCTCATTCAGCCATAGAACAGGTAATTTCAGGCTGCAATTCGCCTGCGGCTTGCAGACAGATTGCTAGGGTTCAGCGCCTGGGGGCTTCTTAAAATCTGATCTTATCGGAGTGAACACGGAGCGCGGGGCGGCCGAGTCCCGGCTCCCGGAACCGTCCCGGAACCGCCCTGGCTCCGGGCTGCGGAGCCTGCGGAGGCTGCTTCTTGGACCCTGCTAATATCAGAGCATACACCAAGCACTAAGCGGCCGAATTCCAGCTCCCGGAACTGAGCCCGCGGGGACTGCTTCTTGGAGCTTACACTTATAGGAGCTTACACCGAGCACAGAGCGGCCGAGTTCCGGCTCCCGGAACCGTCCCGGAACCGCCCTGGCTCAGGGCTGCGGAGCCCGCGGAGGCTGCTTCTTGGACCCTGCTACTATCAGAGCATACACCAAACACTAAGCGGCCGAATTCCGGCTCCCGGAACTGAGCCCGCGGGGGCTGCTTCTTGGAGCCTACACTTATAGGAGCTTACACCGAGCACGGAGCGGCCGAGTTCCGGCTCCCGGAACTTCCCTGGACCGGGGCTAGGAGCCCGCGGAAACTGCGTCTCGGTCCGGGTCCTGCTGAGGGCAGGTCAGGACTCACCCATTGCTTGGGTTGCCTGGCAAGGGGAACGAAATGCTGCCATTCGCATAGGATACCAACATGGCAGAGATCTGATGTCAGCAGAAAGCGGTGGAGGAGAGATCTTCATCAATACCAGCGGTGACATAAGCAGTTGGTCTCCTGGTAAGGGGGGTGAGGCTCAGTCACCCGAGTCTCCTCAATTTGTCCTCGAGCCAGAGGGAAGGAGCCGGGCCGCCGCCAGCCCCCGGAGCAGGCCCAGCGGCTCGCCAACGTGGTGACCGCGTGACTCCAATTGGAGAGGGGGCGGAGCGGAGCCGCCAC